CGGCTGCCAGATCGTCCCGAGGTATCTGAAGTCCCCACCCTTTGTGGTCTCACCATGCGTTCCGATCGATCTGCACCTCTATCGGAGTCAGGAACTTGGTATACTTGACATGGTCAGGCCGTTAGCCCAACTTCTGTCAGGACTTTCTGCAAGTTCTGCACCTGGGGTTTGAAGTTTCCTCTCTTGTATCGCGCTATCAAGGCGACGTCTGTCAGCATAGAGGATAGTCTTCAACGGTCCCTCCAGTGGCCCCTTCACAGGCCATTCTAGTGGTTAGGAGGAAGAGGAACAGGGCTCAGAGCTGACCTTGGTTGCACACGACCGTGATGTCACATCCTTCGTTAGGCCGTATATGGGTGCGTATAGCTGCGTTGGCTCCTTTCGTGCATATTCTCTCACCAGAGAGGATGAGTGGTCTGGCGACATTCCGTCCTTAAACGATCCGCCATAGCAATGCTCGCGGTAGCCGGTGAAGCCTTTCACATCGAGAAGGCTAAGGTGGCAAGCGTCAACGCTTTTCCGCGTACTTTCTCCCAATCACTTGCCTTAGCGATGAAGATGGCATCTGTTGTAGACATTTCGGGCATGAACCCGGAAACGTATCCTGGAGGACTCTGAGACGAGGTCCCGCAAGTTTCGAGTGACGCGCTCGTACAACTGGGATGGACGCGCAAGGCAGCGGGATGCCGCGGTAGTTGGAGCAGTCATCGCGTCAACCCTTTCTGCTTGAGATGGGGACGATATACTTGTTCGCCAGGATCCGGCATCCTTCTTCGAGCGGCCTAACGTATTCAGGAACGGCGTGGAGCACCTCACCCCGTGCTCTCCAGGGGCCTTCAAGCCTCTATAAGGCACTCCATCTTGAACCACTGCTTTTCCAACCGCTTCAATCTTTCCACAAGTGGCACGCCTCGAACCTCTCCTCCTGTCCAGGAGTGCGATGGCCAGCTGTGGCCTCTGCCGTGAGTTCGTCTCCGTGGGAGAACTCCTCCGTTCAGAAGGGCCTCTGAAGTACTCTTCCCACCTCTCGGAACTTGGGTGGCTTTCTCGTATGGTCTCCCCGCGCCGTTCATGTTGTTCTTCACGCTCTTCACCACACCTGATATTCCAATGAGTAGCCCGGTTGCCGGAGGCTATTGGCCAGTCTGAAGACGAACTTCTCTGCGTTCTGCTTTCAAGCTTCTCGCTACAAGCGGTCCATCTCGGTTTCTTTGCCTTGGCCTACGACGGCTTTAGGGAGCCTGCTCTGCAACTCTTGTAAGCGCGATGGTCCTCGGGGCTCCGGGATCTTCTGCCAGAGCTTGTATGCCTCTTATTCCTGGCCTTCACGACTCGCTGGACCTTCTCGTTCGAGAACACCGTGCGTTGGTCTCCTCGATCCACCTCGAGTGCTCCCGGTACCTACTTGTGCGATCGTAGGATAGATCTTAAGCGTGCAGTGCCCCAGCTGCTGCACTGGTCCTCAGGATCTGGGGAGACAATTCCATTATCTTAACGCTGAGGTCGTTACTGCTCTGCACGGATGACGTGTGCAACTCCCACCACCGATTCTCTCTCGAGTTCCTTTACTTTGCTTCTTGCGGGAGCTCCATGGCTATGTCTGCAGGAGTAGGCTTTGTGCTGGGAATCCAGATACCTAGCAGGGGCAGTACCTATGAACGTCCTTTCACAGTTCTGAGGGTGATCTTTTACAGCACAATGGTCGATTTACCGTTGGGTCGCTCCGCACTTGACTGTAGGGCCTTGATGAGTCTCCCTTTCGCGAAGAAGTGCTATGCAGATCCCAGATCGTGAGGCCGTCTAGCCAGAGTCCGAGGACCTCTCTCCCTCCGTCGTTCCTCACTCCTATCCTCTACCTTTCGTCGTAACTCGTCCTTTTTCACTTTCGGGGTCATGCGGGCTGGCGAGCTGGCCATTAAAAACCTCCCCCCAAAAAAAACCACGGAGAGTTATGGTCCAGTATACTCCCGCCTCCTGTGTCTAATCCTTAAGCCATGATCCGATCCGGATCCTGTTACACTGCGGAGGACGATGTCTCGAGCGACTCCCTACCGCTTATGCCAAACGTTTCGCTTTGGTGTTCTATCATGTGTAGGGAAGAGATTTGGAACCTTTCCCCGCATATTCTGGCGTTAGCACCTTCCATGCAGGTTCCTGAAGGCATTAGCACCTGGATATTCCTGCGCAGCGTCATGAGATCAGCGACTTCTCGGGAAACTTCAGTTAGTGATCTACCTGTTAGAGTCCATATTCGTGGATTATGATTCTTCTTGAAAAAATATGAAACGGCGGCAGTGCGGAGGAATTATGACCGCATTCCCAGGAAATCAAAAAGATAATCCGAGAGTCAGTGGCCATTGCAAAGTGCACACTTCAAAGCCGTAAAGTAGAACTTGAAGACAGTATTGACAACGGGTTGAGTTTGAATCCATCAATCGCACCATATGCAATTATATTCCACTAAAATTGTACTATTTCTTGGACAAAACTGTATGTATACAAAACGGATTCTGCGAATAATTATACACTTTGATAGAACGTGATTGCGGAAAGTGTGGCCGATTCACTTCAGCGCTTGCCATTTATAGTTAAGGAAATGTAAAACCGGTGTGGGTTGTTTTACTGTGATGATGTTATTGCGGGTCAACAAATTTCGCTTCATAAACTGCACAATGCGACTCAAAGATATAGCAGTAGAGCCTTTGCGAGGGCACTTTGACTCTGCCTTGAGCTGATGTGATAGTCGGCTAGCCTACCTGGTATACAGAACAGTACAGGTAACCAGTAGGTCATATACACCAGAAGCACATTCTCTCGAAACCTTGGGAAACTACAGCAAAATTTTTCTGGATTCTAGTCGGTGTTCTAATATAACATTCAGAGACACTTCGGCATGAGTAACAGCGCCGATGAACGCCAGTTGAAAATTGCCAAGATGGTGTACAGAGCAACCCTGTAACGACGAAGGAATCGAGTGATGATCTGCTTGGAATCTCAATTCGGGTAGGCGAGAAGGGCTAATTCGATGCTGCCCTTCGATTAAAGGAGTAACTATTACAAAAAATTAAAAAAAAAAATTAAAAAAATTGTAAATTTTTTAGGAAACTAATGGGAGTAAGTACTGGTTCAGCGTATAAAGAAATAGAACAAATGTCCATCAGACTGGTGTGAGGAAATAAAAGTTATGGGCTACGACCTTGGGGTCTAGACGATAGGGAAAACGACCTACTATTATTCATAAAATTGTTACATTGGCAAATGAGCTGGTATTGTTTGCAGTACACTTTGGACTCAAAGACTTTCCTCACAAGAAGAGGCGGCTTGAAACTGGATGAAGGCATAGAGAGCCAGGTTTAAAATTGTAGGCGTATTTCTTTAGTCATAGAGTGGGTTAAAATGGTTTTCGAAAGTTATGCAGAAGCGTCGGATAATTACTATCATCTACAACAATTTAAAAACATTATAGTAATTGTTTGAGCCCGATACTCCCTCGTACCTAAGTGTCCTTCTTTCTTCTTTGTGCGATCAAAATATGCTCGTTTATTTTTCGTTTTTTCCTTGTTGGCCATTGCTAATACCCTTGATGTTTTGGTCTATGGATTACTCCGTTAGTATGTAAAGCCACACGAATTCTGCTCGTGTAGTAAAATTACAGGGGTGGGCCAAAAAGATAGCGACCTCGACATGGCGCAATTCTCGAACTTTCGCACATTAGGGAGGCCGGATGTGAATGAAAAGTTTTATGGCGTAGATATTGCTTAGTTCTCCGTGCAAGCAAGCACTTCCTTCTGCCCTGCTCTCCCAGAATATAGAACGTCATCTGCCAGTCCCATCGAAGCCTCAACGAGGACTATACCGAAATCCTCGCCTGAAGTGACCTAACAATTTCCTCGGTGAATTAATTGTTGAATAGCTTCCCAAAGACATTAGCTGTGAATGTGCGAAACCGATTTTGACCTGCATTTCAGAGACGTCGTAATCGTCTATGGTATCTCAACGACCTTGTTGAGATCGTACTGCGCACTAAGCTTCCGTGGGAAAATCTTTTGATGTAGAAGGCTGTTGTGTAGCTTGTTGATAGATTATAACGTGCTCTTCAATATTCAGTTGGGATCAATTGATTTGGTTTCGCGACGCGTAAATAATTCCGTTTTGAATGCTGAGTGAAGTGTCTCTTTTTTTTGGCCACCCCCGTATATACATTATTACGTCTATTTTATCTGTCAATGATCTTAGGTAATTGTTCTTTTTCTCAGGGTGACCTTATATTATAAAACGGTGCAAAAATCGAAGAATAATTACAAAAAAAATTCGAAGAAAAGCTTCTCCCACCAAAATTGCGATACAAGGGTTCTTCGTGGTGGAGAATCATTTGGTGATAGTGAAAAAATCACCAGCTGGCTGCTGGTCCCGGAAATTCAATATTTTAGGGTGACCTTATAGTTATGAAACGCACTGTAGTTTAGCTGCGCAGGCTATCGCGTGCATAACACTACGCTATAGTAAACTGCGGGACCTGTGCAGAACCAGACTAAAAATTTCACCGGAGCACTTCACAATTAGGTCCGTTAGCTGACCTTCTGCACGCTCCCCAATTTCACTGAGGTCCACCGTGTAGTGTGAACGAAAGCTGTGTAGCAAAACTGATACTTTATATGCATGGTAGGATGGTCATCTTTCATTGCAACTCGACACATTTCACTACCCTCCATCACATTTCGCTCATTCGGTACCACTACAAAGACAACAAAGCTGAAAGATTTTTAGCATCCTAGCTTTGAAGTCTATCCCACGATCTTTTCCCTGTGGGCCCGAACAGTTCCGCTGCGCTTTTAGCCTCATAATTAAGCTCAGAGAACCATATGATAAAAGCATATTGGTGTCAATGTCTGAACGCGCGTATATAAGTGTACATCTACTTTCACTGGCCGAGGTGGCCTGATAACCTTCCACAATTCGGATGATAGTCCATGGGCAATTCGGTAATTCCATATTTCCAGTGGTTTGGGAACTTAGTGACAATGCGTTGGTGGAGCGAGTTATGGTTGAAAGAAGGATTCTCGGATTTTATGGCATTTCTCGCACTGGAAAAAATCACAGATCGTGGCAGAGCAGAGGTAAGTCAATACGGTTTCATTAACGAATCACACTCGCGCATTTATAGGCTGACTACTTCCTTACGAGCTCGCTAGAAGTAGCGTTTATGGCTGATGCTGGCTCTTCAACTCATCCCTTGAAATGGCACGCGGAAAAGCCTAGTGAGTTGATGGATGGAGTCAGTGCGATATCGTACAAGAAAGGAGCCTCTTTCCTTGTTATGACTGCTGCCATTTTGGGAGCAGATGACTTCTACAAAGGAGTGAAGGTTGGCTGATCCCTGCTTTGACTGCAGAAATCCCCAACAAGAAAGACGGAGATTTTCAGGTTTTCTTGAACAATAACTCATTCGATGCCGTTATCAGCTATGATCTCTTTAATGCATTGATCCAAGCTGGTTCTCAAATAAATGAAACATTTCATCATAATTTCACTTTTCACTCCTTCTGTGAACGGTGGACAGAACAGGTTTGATGAAGTTACGAAGAAGGTGATGCGGAGAATCCTTGAAAATGGGCCTCTATGTGCCCCTTAGCAAGCAAAATCAAACCTTCAACATCCCTTGCCATTGCATAATTGGGCATGCAATGTGACATTCATGAGTTCATCGAATCAGTTCCGATTGAAAGCATACTAGATGAAAGATAGGGTTCGCAAGAGTGAACCTCTTCGCACTGATCAATTCCTCTTGGAATGGGCGCAGCGTATGATAGAATCAATAATTCCAGGCAGCTTTGTCCCAAGTAGCCGACCATGAAGGGGTACCCGACAGGAGGGCCGTCGCCCGAAGAGAAGGCAGGACGCAGCGGACTAGTCGCAGCGCATGTTTGCGATGTCAACTTGACGCCAAATCATTACAGTGCGCGCTCACGATTCGCCCACAGACTCATCTGCGTCGCTGCCTTCTCGCCGCCAACGGGCGTCCTGTCGGGTACCGACTGAAAAGACGGAAGTTTCGCTGGATTTGTGATTTATCCTCAGACCGTGCGCGAGTCATACGTTGCCGCCGCCACATCACCTTTCACAAATTGAATGCACTTTTTAGGTGTCAACTATAACATTAGAAGTTGCAGATAGGATTTCCTTTGATAACTGTAAGATCGATCAACGATAGTACATTTGAAATTAGCCAAGAACGCTACAAAAAGGATCCTACGGAGGCAGACCCCCCAAAGTACAACAGTTCAGGGCACAAGTAAGTCTTCCTTCACACAAAATATTTGCTATCAGTTTTGCTTCGCCCGCTGTCGCGCGCATCACATGGCAGGCTTTAGCGGAACTGGAGGACCCATGGAATATCAGCATGAGGTGCTCCATTAACCAACTCACTATTGAATGTGTTAGACCTTTCTCAGTTTCGCTGAAGTCCATCGAGAATACGCGTGATAACGTCTGGAGCTGGTCTGGTATGTATCTCACAACTGTAAATATCCACCTGAATTCGGATAATTTAGCGGTGAATCTTTTAATGTCAGTTTCAAAAAGAGAATGAAATATGCCTATTTACATAAGTGAGGAGCTAATGCTTATCGGTTATGTACATTCACCATTATTTAGAACTCTTAAAGGATTAGCGGTTCAATGACTTTTGCGTTCTGACGCGCCTTATCAGTCTTCATCAGTTGTAACCACTTTCTATCATCTACCACAATGTCCTCACCCCACCAGGTTCAAAATCGTGTCGAGGAAATAACCGCCTCTTTACGACCCCCCTCCGAAACAGAGACTCTGATACGACCCCTTTTTGTCCACTGCACATCCGGTTTCATATAAAAAATGCTGGTTTCAGATGTGCGAGAGGGACGCAGAGCCACTGCCACGCAAATGCGGCTTGATCCAAATGCTTGATTCAATTCTGCTCAGATTAGCTTCTCCTTCTTTCTTTTGAAGACATTTACCCTTTGCCACACTGGCCGGATAGTAGAACATTGAAGGAGGCACTGCCCCTACACAATTAAAAGGTCTCGCGTTCCAGTATAGCGGCGCTAACTACCCGCGATCACGTCGCGCGCTGTGCCTAGAGCGCGCTAGTTGGAAAAATCGTCAAATGTACCCCCTATTTAAAGGACTATAACTTTCTTCATTGATAACCATTTCGAAAAGTGAGCAGTTTTAATGCACAAGACTTATAGTTTCTAAATTGGTTGAGCGCTTTTCCAAGCGCGCCTATTCTCGAGAGTGGGAGACGTCGAGAAATGGTCGAGGAAATTGAAATTCACATGCCAGTTCTCACTCTTAGGAAGACTGTAGCTGTCTTTATTGGCAATGCTTTGAAAATCAGAGGAAAACGTTGTAAAGTAGAAGATTTACGCTTTTTGATAGGTGCTCTATTTGTTTCGAACGCTTTCTATTTCGCGAGAAATCTCGTCGAGGGAATGTCAAGGAAATTTTTGAAGCCACTCGAAAACTCTATTACTCCCTCGCCGTAGTAGGGGAATTCTTTGAACACCTTCAAAATAAATTTGTTTAAAACAGAGAAGCTCCAAAAGTTTTATTCCAAAAGAATTCCAAAAGTTCACAAAAGTCCAAATACTCCGAAAACGAGCCAAAATTTTGAAAAGAACTCCTTTGGAAACTTTCGCGATATTTCGGTGTAAAACACCTTCTTCAGGCATGGAGTTGCCTCTGCCGCCTGAAGAAGGTGTTTTACACCGAAATATCGCGGAAGTTTCCAAAGGAATTCTTTTCAAAATTTTGGCTCGTTTTCGGAGTATTTGGACTTTTGTGGACTTTTGGAATTCCTTTGGAATAAAACCTTTGGAGCTTCTCTGTTTTAAACAAATTATTTTGAAGGTGTTCAAAGAATTCCCCTACTACGGCGAGGGAATAATAGAGTTTTCGAGTGGCTTCAAAAATTTCCTTGACATTCCCTCGACGCAGATTTCTCGCGAAATAGAAAGCGTTCGAAAGAAATAGAGCATCTATCAAAAAGCGTGAATCTTCTACTTTACAACGTTTTCCCCTGATTTTCAAAGCATTGCCAATAAAGACAGCTACAGTCTTCCTAAGAGTGAGAACTGGCATGTGAATTTCAATTTCCTCGACCATTTCTCGACGTGTCCCACTCTCGACAATAGGCGCGCTTAA